GTTCCGGTGTTTCTAGCGATTCACTCTAAAACGATTGCTTGAGGAGTCAAAATACTTGCATTCCGATCCACGATCGACTGCGTTAATTAACGTGTTGCAATTCCTGAAAGAGAAGGCACAGTTACATTTATAACACCACCTGAACCAAATCGATCATTGACTCCATCCTTAGTAAGCTAAAGTACTCACATTTTCAAAACTTTAAAAATCAAAATTAGTATTGCTGGCGATCTCATGGCAAAACTACTTATAGAAGTAGGAATTGCTCCATACAGGGTGGTGCCTAGCGCAACGCAGCATAGGGATTTCAATGGTAATTTCTTTATAGTCAATTACTAGCTCCCCTAATTATTTTAGCGCAAAAGTCTAAATACGTTTATTTTAGAGAAAAAAATACTGCATCTGTTCATACTTTTAGTTATAATTTTCCATTTTTCAAAACTGTAGAAATCGACAAAATAAAAAATTACATTTTTATAAATCAGTGATGCTTTGGAATGGAATCTTTTAACAAACTACAAGCGCATCGCATCTAAGTTAACGTTGTTTGACGTCCAACGATTTTCATATTTAATTCTGTTTCAACTAACCGAGGCAATAAAAGGCATCTTAGTGTAATGTTTTTTTAGAGAATGTATGCTGCATCTGCATCAGATACTATTTGTTTATCATTTTCCGGAATCAGAGTACCTACATAATCGAAGAAAAAAAACTGATTTGAAGAAGATTTGTTCTTAAACTTACTTATATTCGGATTTTCCGCTACTGCAGCCAAAACGTTGAATGTATTGTCGTTTTCCTGATGGTTTTGACGGACATTTTGAACGTTATTGCACTTGCAGTTCTTTAACTAATTTATAAACAAGTATAAATTTAATAAACGTCAAAGGCAAATAATGAAACGTGATCGCTGTTTTTTTAGGTAATTCCAAGGCATATTTGATTTATTGTAAAATGAACCTTTTTATTTTGTCGATTTCTACGGTTTTGAAAAATGGAAAATTATAACTAAAAGTATGAACAGATGCAGTATTTTTTTCTCTAAAAAAGCTTATTTAGACTTTTGCTACACAATAATTAGGGGAGCTAGTAATTGACTATAAAGAAATTACCATTGAAATCCCTATGCTGCGTTGCGCTAGGCACCACCCTGTATATCAAAATGGTATAACATTGGAGGGTTAACTAAAATTTTTTTAATTTCTTCGAGTGCATTTTGCTGTTCTGGGTTCCACTGAAATTCCACATCTTTTTTCAACAACTCTCTAAGAGGTGCTGTGACTATACTGCAACTAGGAATATGTTTTGCTAAATACTGTATCATTCCTAATAAACGTTCAATACCTTTTTTATCATTTGGAACTTGAATATTTTTATAGCTTCACATTTATTTAAATCGGGTAATATACCTTCACTCGTTACCCTATAACCCATATAAATAATTTCAGTTAGACCAAATTTACACTTATCCAAGTTAAATTTTAGGTCATTTTCTACTGCAATTTTAAACACTGTTTCTAACCTACGATTATGCTTTTCTATGTCTTTACCCCATATTATTATACCATCTACATACACGTCCACCCCTTCAACTGAATCAAACATTTGTCTTACTACTTTTGTAAAAACCTCAGGAGCTGAACATATACCGTAAGGTAGCCTATTAAACTTGTAACGTCCAAAAGGTGTGTTAAAAGTGCATAAAAGGGAACTTTCATGATCTAATTTGATCTGTCAAAAGCCACTACTACAATCAATCGTTAAGAAAAATTTTGCACCACTTACTTTGCTTAAAATTTCATCTATGGTGGGAATTTTAAAATGTTCTCTTTTAATGGCTGTATTTAAATTTGTTGGATCTAAGCATAATCTTAGTGATTTATCTTTTTTAAAACTACACTACACTATCCAACCGAGAATTTAATCGCTGTATTAAAAATGTTCTTTTAGCTCACGCCTTTTACTCCACGGATGAATTTATAAATTTCGATTTTAGTTTGATGCTATAGGTTACAATTTAGAAATATATTTGATGACGAGTGTATGTAATTCTTGTTGATTACCTAAACACAATAAACTTTATTATTATTATTATTATTATTATTATTAAAAACAATAACTAATGAATTGACCCAATTTGTAGGTTGTGTAACTTTACTCACAACACAATCTGTTTCCAACTGATCTAACTTTCTTTTCAGATCACCCTGTATGGCAAACGGAACTTTCCTGGCTGCATGTATTACCGGCTGGACTCCAGGATCAACAGTTATATGGTGAGTATAATTTTTCAAGCATCCTAACCCTTTAAAACAATTTTTATACTTATCTATAATTTCTTTCAGGTATGGCAACTTTGGGTCGGCTTCAATAGAATTCACCTTTGCCCTTACAATCAATTGAAATGTACAACAAGCATCTAAACCTATAGTCCGGGAGCCAGCTGACATTTGAGGGTCGTTATAGTAAGAAAGCTGGAAATTTTTTTTGGCGTCTATTTAGATGCACTGATTAACGAAATAAACGTCAGCTGGCTAGATAGCGGTGGGGGTAGCCGTAGCAGCCACCCACGCATGTATAATAAAAATAAACTTAAAATCATAGTAAGAAAGATGAATCTTTGTAGGCTCGTTTATTAGCCTATGTATAAATGAAAAAAAATAGTCAGCTGACTGCACCGCGGTGGATTATACGTCAGCTGATTGGATAAACATGTAAAAAAAAACGTTAGATAAAATTAAAGTAAGAAAGCTGAATTTTGGTGAAATAATAGTTTACTACATCAGTTTTGAGAAAAAAATACTCCGCTGCAATTTCCATGGTGGGAAAGTCATCAGCTGGTTCACGAAAGATGATATGCGTCCGTATTTTGTGGCCGTCAGCTGATGACTTTTCCACCGCGGAAACTCCAGCGGACTATTTTTTTTATAAAACTGATACAGTAAACTATTGTTGTAACAAATTACAACTTTGTTAATTTGATTCTTGCTTTTTTAGAGCGAGTTGGAGGCTGCATTTCCAATTGGTCGGCAAATCTGCCAACTGGCTCCCGGACTAATAGTATTGGGCAATTTTCTGTATTCACAATTTGATATTCTATAAAGCTGTGTATATTATTGACTACAGTTTTTATTTTGCACATTCCTTTAACTTCAATTTCATCATTATTATAACCAGTAAGTCTAGCCCTCGATGGCTTTAAACCATGCACATTTAATTTGTTAAAAACATGTAGGTAATGGTAAAATATTTGCTGCTGCACCTGTATCTAATTTAAATACTACATCGTGACTGTCATTGAGTGTACATTTTTGTAACCAACTATTACCTACGTAATTACTAATATTACCTACAAATAATTCTTGTTCGTCACTTTTTACAGCAACGTGAAGTTTAAACCTTGAAGTTTATTTATTTCCAATAGATTACATAAATGTAATATAGGACATGTCAAAATTTACATTGTTACATATAAAACATACAAGACATTACAACGAATTAAAATATTCTTCAAGGGAATAAAATTCCTTCTCCAGTAGGTATGATATTAATGCGCGTTTAAAGCTTTTTAATGTTGTTAGAGACTGTATTACACGTAATTGTATTGATAGATTTACATACTCTGGCATAATGACCTACCTTCTTACATTTATTACAAACAGCTGATCTAGCGGGACACATCAGCTTGTCACGGGGATGGTCGCCTCCGCAACAATAACATCCGTCTTTCTTCGGTACCTCCCTCGGTTGTGGGTTTGCTTGAGTTTTCCCTCTGTTTGTTTGCTTATGCCCTGCTGTTCCCGATCCGTACTTCTTGTGCTGTTTGACTACATCTCGGACTACATCTACCTTTGCGGAAGATAACTGCTGTATCTGCTTTCGTGCTAGCTCGGACGCCTTGCAAATTTCAATCGCTTTCTTCAAGTCCACATTTGACTCTCGAAACAATCGGTCTTTTACACTTCTGTCTTGAATGCCCAAGACTAACCTGTCTTTTATTAGACTGTCAGTTAAATCTTGAAATTCACACGAACTGCTAAGATGTCGCAATGCGTTGACATACTCATCCACCGTTTCATCGATCCCCATCTCTCTAGTAAAAAAGACGTTTCTTTCATACGTAACATTTTTGGTAGGTATGAAATATTCGTTCAATTTGTCAAATATTTTCGTATACGAATCCTTGTCTTCTGGTTTTTCAAAGACTAAATTGTTGTATATTTGTATGACTCGGTCACCAACCATGTTTAGTAGAAGTGCCGCTTTGGACGAATCTTCTTCTTTTTCCAGCGTTGTTGCCTTTAGGTATATTGCAAATTTTTGCCTAAAAAACACCCAATTATCGGCTAAGTTACCCTCAAAACTCATTTCAGTAGGTGGTTTTGCGGATGCCAACTGATGGAAACTGTTTGCCTTATCCACCATTTTGCTGCTGTTTTTAACCTTTGTGTTGGGTTTATTCAGGGCCGGCGCTAAGGACCGTGCATCCCGTGCACTCGCACGGGGCGGCAAAATGTGAAGGGGCGGCAAAATCTGTTTTAAATAAAATCATAATAATTATTAAATTTCATAACCACCAATAATCACAAACAACAATCGCTTCACATCTGCCTGGAATTTCAGATAAATGACACAGGGAAATGAGACCCTATTACAAACACAAAGAAGCTGTTATATTTGTATTATATTACTTTATTTAGTGTTACCACTTAACGGCTTACTATACCTACTTCCTTTTTTAATTATGTATAGTCATAACATATCAGTTATCACGGTTCACGTCTCACGATTTTGTAAATTTTCGCGACAACTCAATGGTGCCATTGTATTATTCAAAGAAGTACGTATAAATACCTAGGTGTAGATTACAAATTTTCTTAATTTTCGTTAGTGTCCATAGTTACTTCAGCAAGTACTGTCGCGTCGTTGATTGTTGATATTTTTCTAATTTTTATATATCACTTAATCAGTGGATTTCGCAACGCTTAGTATACGGCATAAACATGTCCGAAAAACGACATCGTCTTTCTGGTGCTCAGTATCGCAAACGAAAAGCGATTCTCGAAAATGAAAAACGAAAACAAAGCGATGCGCTAAATAAATATTAAAGATTACAAGACGATTACGAAACGGAACGTGAATTCGGAGAATCTTCTAAAAATCGCGATAATAACGAAATTCGCGAATCCGAAACACTCGCCGAAACGTTTGTAAATCCTGACGAACTCGATAAATAACACAGGTATGTTGATTTATCGTATCTATTGTTTATAGTATATAGTTTTAGTCTTTAGGTGAATTGTAAATTATTGGTTGGCGGTTTGGGGGGGGGGGCGGCAAAGTTAAATTTGCACGGGGCGGCTAAATTGCTAGCGCCGGCCCTGGGTTTATTCCAGGGACCCGGACCGGACCGAAAAAGAACCGAAAACCGGACCGAAACCGTTATTTTTTTCTGGATCGAAAACCGAACCGAAACCGTTATTCCTTCAGAAATGGAAACGTATTGAGAACCGGAACCCATATTACTTTTTTCGGTTCTTTTCGGTTTTTTACGGTTCTTAACAGGTTATTGAAAGTTGAAGGACGCGCCGGCAACCACGTCCTGAAAATTGATAAAATATTAGTCTATGATTGCCATCGGTGGATTATACATTTTTAATAAGGTGTCGAAATTGAAGGCATTACGAGTGGCGGTGGCGCTAATTTAGCCACTAAATAAAAAAGGAGGGGCGAGGTTTTATAAAATAAAATTTTCTGTTTTTTAGTAATAAAGTGTAAATACGCATTTCCCTCTTCCTCCTTTATTCCCCTTGTCGTTATAAATTATACGATACGTCACGTTTTGGTATTCATGGCTTTTTCTTCACACCTATTAATTAACAAATCACGTTGTTATAATGAATTTTTTGAATGCCATACTTTCTAAAAGACTAGAACCGCAAATAACCGTTATGGACCGAAAAAAATGCGCAGAACCAAACCGTTATTTCCTTTTAGAACCGAAACCGGACCGGAACCGTTATAAATATTTTCGCTTAAATATAAACAGAACCGGAACCGATATTTCATTTGGGTCCGGGTCCGGGATTAGACTAATCCAGTCACTGACCTGCTGCTATTTTTGTTTTCTATTACTGTAGGCTACTCACAACTCCGACTGCGCCATGCTTTGGTTTTTGTTAATAAATAAATAATAAGATCCTGCTTGAACTTATTTTAATAATCGCCAATCGTTAAGTACACGTTTTTGCATCACTCAACATTGCAGTGTTGCCAATCCTCTAACACTCTTCGATACTTACCAACTGGTGAAACTTTGAGAAGTTTAAGTTTTGCAACGAGAATTGCACATAATACTCTAAGTGTAATTTTATTATTAATGAAGTGCTGAATGCCATTGTTACACGCTTAGAAGGAGAATATTTAAGGGTTAGTATCACAGCAGATATAATTAGCAAATAAAGTTTATGCCATATGTGGCGGCACAACAAACCAAAAACAAATTCATTATATACCTAAACATTTATTAAGTTTTAATTTACATTAAACACAATTAATTGCAATCATCTTGTTCTTGGTACTCTAAAAGAGTCATAATTATTTTCCGCTTGCACTGTTTTCCAATTTTTTCATCTGCTATATCCTTTGTTTTGTCTGCTACAAATTTCCCAAATATTCCCCATTGATCATCCTGCTCACCAGTAATTTTTTTATTGCATTCCCAATTTCTTCAAACACAGGAAGAGCAGCATCACTCTCTGCTCGTCTTTTTCCAGAGGGAGGATTGCGTAGAGGTGCACCTTTTCGTTTTGATTGGTGGATTGGTATTTCACCCGATGCAGATGTGCTGGCGCCATCTTCATCCTCAGCTGAGCCATCTATCTGAAATTTAATTTAATATTAGAGGCCCCACAGACGCAAGAAGAATGGAAAGCAGTATCGGACAAATTTTACGAAAACTGGAATTATCCAAACTGCTTGGAAGCGATGGACAGAAAACATACCACATTTCGATCCTTTTTTCACAATTATAAAGGAACAGATAGTATTGTTCTTTTAGCTGTAGTGATGAAGATTATAAATTTTTAATAAGTGACATAGGCAGAAATGGCAGAATAAGTGATGGAGGTATATTTCAAAGGAGCCCTTTGGCATATGCAATTAATACTGATACGCTGAACTTTCCACCTCCTCAAGCTTTGCCAGGAAGAAATAAAGAAATCCCACATGTGTTTGTGGCAGATGATGCTTCCCCACTGAAGCAAAACATCATGAAACCATACAAACTTCACGGTCTTTCCAATGAGCAACGTATATTTAATTACCGAATTTGCCGATCTCGAAGAGTTGTCGAAAATGCATTCGGTATATTAAATAACAAATTTCGGATTTTGTTACATACAATGAATGTACTTGTAAATGTCGAAAAAGTAGAAATGATTACGAAAGTGTGTTGCATTTTACATAATTATTTAATTACCGTATCACCCAAATACATTTCCAATATTGAAGATGTAACGTGTCATTTACAGAATGTGGTACGGCAAGGAGGAAATCGAACCGCTACAACATCACAACAAATTCGTTTAGTATACCAAGAATATTTTAACACCAATGGAGCAGTAGCATGGCAACAAGATTCTGTTAATAATCATGTTATGTAATTAATTACTTAAGTTATGACATATCTAAATTAAATATTTACTAAATGAACTTACTTCTGGTATTAGAGTATTGTCTAAGTTTTCGTCTTCCTTCTCTATAATGGTCTGCCAAGAACAGCAATTGTTCAAATTTACTTTAACAACCTCTGCTCCAGCACCACTGGGCTTGCCGCTTGCCTCGTAGTTTACCGATTTCTTTGTTAAATTGTGTCCGCAAAGAATTAATTTTTGTTTTAACATCATTGGCTAAATATAAAATACAATCAATGATAAAATACATTTACTATAGTTATAAACAATCACATACTTGTTATTTTTGGTCGAACTTCCTGCATACTTCTCACAATTTCCTCAAGTGCCCCTGCCTTGTTTATTGTGGTACATTGGCATTTTAACGTTATAGAGACCGTCTCTATCCTGGTATAAATCAATCAAAAAGGACACTTGTTCTTTGCTCCATCCAGGTGTCATTTCAAATTAACAATAACGAAAAAGTACTTGTTGCAGCTAATAATCAACACAATCAGGTTATGTAGGTCGTCGTCGGAAATCAATTCGTTCGCGCCGTTTTTAACTTACTTGAACTAACCAATTACAGCACAGCTCACATCAAACTGACTGATTGAAATAGAGGCACTTCTAAAAAATAGGAAGTTTGCTCAAACTGCATCGGTGACGTCACTAGTCGAGTTTGATCAAACCAGTTTGTCAAACTGTTTGATAATGTGACATAGGCTTAAGCGGCGGTGTGGCTGGTGCTGACTGCAGGTCGGCTGGATCGGAAGATGAAGTTGAAGCGAAGCGCGATCGAAAACTACTACTTTGTGCTCGCCTGTGGCGGGTATTTAAATGGTCGGGCTTGCACGCTAGTGGCTGACCGCGCGGCCCAATCAGACGACGTTGTTGCGTAGTCTCCGGCGGTCGCCACAGTACTTCTCCTCCAGCGTAGCGGTAACAAACTCGTTAAACTTCGCTGGGAACTTAACCGCTCTCCCTGATCTTGTTTGTAACTGACCTGGGGGCTGACAAAGGTTTTTTCCCTTAGCTCGTCTTTTTAAAGCCATAATCGGCACGGAGAATTGTTTACTCGCTGTTTTATACTGCATGCCATTTTTTACAGCATCTAATGCGTTGATCATTGAGAGTTCGCTCCAATTTTGGCGCGTAGTTTTTCTTATATAATTCTTCGGCATAGTTCCTGAAATAAAACAAAATTATACTTACCTATCTACAGATATACATAATGTAATTTAATATAAAAATTGAAACATCCATGTTAGGAAATAATGCAGGGAAAATGATCCCGGATGAATGGGACAGGAAGTAAGCAATGGGAACCTTCCACGGCGAGTAAATTCCCCGTGCCAAAAACACCAAAGCGCACTTTGCAGTGTTTTTGGTACGATTTGATTGTTCGAAATCTGGTTGTAGTTGGCCAAAATCTTCAAATCCTTCTACCAAATCATGTATTTATTGTATTCAAGTTTCTCCATAATGGACATTTCATCAAAAGACACAGAACAGGTTTTTTCCTCATCAGAAGCAAAAACATTTTTTTTTTGCAATTTGTTTAAAATACATTACATTAAAGCCAGGTCTAAACTTCGATTTTCCAAGCCACGTTCGAATAGTTGATGGAGCTGGCAATATTACTCCTTGCCGTCGTAAGAATTTATATGCCGTAGAAGATTTGTAATACAACGCCAAAGAACAATTTTTTTCGCTTGCATTTTTGCGATGGTTTTGGAATTGGTAGATGGAAAGCGAAATGATGAAAATATATTTTCAATTTTTCCCTTTTCTTGCAGCGACTGAACTTTCTTACATAATCTAGATATTTTTCGTGTGTGGTTCTTAAAATGATTTTTGTATGTTTGTAATGAAATCTTTAACTTCTTTTCTCTAGGAGAATCTTCAGAAGCACTAAATAATTTGCGTTTTAGAGATGACGAAGGCATATTAGTAATTGCATCCAAAAAAACATTGGCCTCGTTAGAAAATTGAATATCTTCACATATTTCATTATTGCATTCTCGGGTCAGCTTTGAATAGGTTTTCTTCGGCGTTAAAATCTTCAAATTGGACTAGATGCAGATTGATCTGTAGCCACATATGGTATTGGTATAGTATCAGATTTCAGTCGGATTTTAAGATGGGTTTTAAAATCAGTTTCCGCAAAGTGATTTTCACAAAAAAGTTTGTGCTTGAATTGGGTTTTCCGCGTTTTTTCAAAAACCTTGAAAATGAACTCCAAGCACATTAAAAAAATTAGTGGTACTCATTTTTTTGTCAAGAGAAATCGTTGTGATTAGCAAACACGATTTTAAAATGAACGGCGTTTGAAAAGTTTCGAATGACCGCCACGTTGCTGTGACGTCGCTACGCACGTTGGCGCTCAGCCGTAGCATTGCTTACAATCAGAGACTTGTTATAACTAGACCGCGCGTAACGTAGATTTTACTATAAACGCCTGTTGTCAAGATAGGATAGGCAACCAACTGTTCATCGCGGGGCAGACGTACGTTCTGCAGCTTGCTTTAGCCATTTATTCTAAATTTTAGTAGCAAAAAAAGATAACATATAGCTGTTAACTGTTTTAATCGAATTTATTGGTATTTTATTTGAACTAAATTGGTATATAACTGCCTTACTCTAGTCCTAATTTGATTTATATGTGTATTTTGGTGGTGAACACGCATGGGAAAATATACTCTTAAAACTAAAGATGTAAGTAGTAAGATATGATTATTTAGCGGATTTTGATTCAATATATGGTTATCCAAAAACCCAAATGGGCTGTAACTGTTATTTATTTTTCTTAGACTGCTGATAACCATTTTGTTTACAACGCGGTGTGGTGTGGATTGAATGAAAAACCTGAACACATTTTCAGCAATTTGGCAATTTTTAATGCATCGCTTGATACGTGCAACAATCCTCCACGATTTTTTCTAGTTAAAAGCTTTGAATGATTCTCTGATGCGAATGTCGCATCTGTACATATGGAACATTTAACAGACTAAGCTATTTTTCTTGTAACAAAACCTGAAATATACTTAGTACCATTAAGTACTTAGTTACGTCTATACCTAATAGGCAAATAGGTATTGCCGTTGTCTTGCTGGTAAAGGATGTCGAATAATAGTTCTACGTTATTTTAAGTGAATGGGAAAGTCGAAAACGCTCGGTATTGCATTATTGTTTAACACCTTTGTAGGTACCTTTCTAAAATCGGCTTCATTCCCCGCAAATGCACTATGGTGGGAGTAAATTTTTCGCTTCGAATGGCTCTGATCCATTGGCCCTTTAAACCTTTCTCCGTTGAAAATCAGCATATTATTTAAAAATTTATCGACAGAGTACATGTTGATAGGCACAAGTTAACCTAAGTTTATTGGTTTATTCTCAACAGAAATTTATCTGTTCACTAATTCGAGCTAATCACGAGAATGATTAATGAACGGAACATCTAAAATAACAGCTTATTGCAATATAATGTATTGCATATCATCTCAGCGATTTTTGCCCCGCGGTGCATTGTGTGTTGCATACTGTGTCGACAACACCTTAGATACGTTAAGCGCAGTCTAGTTATAGCAAGTCTCTGCTTACAATCGATTCAGAGAAAGAAAACGTCGTTTTGACGGAAAAAAGCGTCGAATAATTATTGCATTTGTGCCTGGGTGTGATAGCAGAAGTCATCGCGAACCTAATAAATTGTATATAAACGTCCCAACAGGAAATATACGAAAAAATTTCGACGTGATACCGCGAGTTTGACATCCCATTTGTATTGTTGTGAAGACGATTCTAATTAATTAAAGTACATAATGTCGATTTACTTTCAGTCAGTTATCGACGAAAATCCATCGATATGTAATATTATAATTGCAATTCAGAATATGATTTACTTCGAACTCTGTTCTGGGCTTATCTGTGCCCTTACAGTGCACATATTTTTCTCTATTTTCACTTCCACATATCCAACACCCTAATTTTCTCGTTGAAATCCGTAAGGTGCATACTTTATTAGGTACCTACACTATACCTTGCACTATACACACATAACTTGATGTTACACTTCCTATGAACCATAACAGATTTGCTTCTGGGCTTTGACTCCACCCAAACGAGTGGCATGGAAAAACTCACTTTTCGAGAAAAAGGCGCCGACCATTAACACTTCAACCTTTGGCAGACCATCTAACTGCCCCTTTACGAACCAGTCAGAACTCAGTTTATGGAAGATTGCCATAATAAGTCGAATCGAACTCCTATCGGTGTCATGCACTAATATAATTCCCGATCGGCAACTTGCGTAGTGACGTAAGCGACGCTCGGCCAATATCGGCATGTCGTCGGTTGCATGACAAAATTTGAAAGTTTTACGATATTGTATGTTGTTTCCTGACATGTTGCAATTAGAAAAAAAAGTTTTGTATATGAGATGTTTAATTACAGGTTATAAACTTTACAGTAAGACACAGAAAAGTTACAATATTTTTTTTCAGGAAGACCCTCGCGGGGTTCATCACAATGACTAATAAATTAGTCTAATTACTTGTTTACTTTATACAATGGTTGGGCAGGTACATTCTTCATCTTTGTCTACTCGTTACCATTTCATTGCAATTAAGTATTAAGTAAGTAATCTAACATACGTCAAATACAATTAAAATTTAAGTGGAATATACCCGTAATGATAAAATGCAATCCTTTTTAATATTTGTATTATGATGTGCAGTGCACATTTAGCGCAATTATGCTCTAACAACAACACCGTCTGTAATCACAGTTCCTCGAAGGCGCCCCCTGTTAGCGGATAGCGGTGTTGTGATTGAAAATTCGCTATTATTGAAATATCTAAATCCGCAGGGTGCTATCTAGCGGCAACGTTTGGCATACCTCAAAACGGCAAGTTCCGCGGCGCCCTCTGGAAAATAACGGCCGGCGACATACTCCAAAGTCTGCCGCTCATATAAGCATTCTGATTTCTGAGGAGTTGATCATCAATGCTAGAACATACCAATTTTAAAATAGCATAAAACTAATCACCGTTAAGACGTGCTTAACTATAAACAAATAAGAAAAGGGTCAAAAAATGTTTCCCCGGTATTGTAATATTGTATAACATGGTTATTTTTCTAGTTTATAAAATCCGAAACATTTTCGTTTAATTTTCAAATAAAGCTACTCGTTTAGAAACTAATTGGAAACTGCTGAATGAAACTACCACCGACAAAATTACTTCAATAATGGGTTCATCGAACATAGATATATTTCGGCTTTAAGCGTCGACTACAAAAGTGTTAGCAGAGGCTTTGTACAAAACCAATTTCCTACTAACAAATTTATCTTCTCGGGACTTTGCATAACCTATAAGAGGAGTAAAGTAAATTAATATCGAGCATCTACATGGACTTGATAATCTGTTAACAACGCGCGGCAGCGATGCTAGTAGATACTCACACTTGTTCAAGTAATAAATTTTTCCGCCAATCGATTTTCTTGTATTGTATTTCGCTTAAAGCGGCTCTTCGACATTCCAAGCGCATAAGCTGATTTGCTCACTGCTGCAGAGCGTGAAAGAATTAGTGACAAACGATGAGAATTACTACAAAATTAATACCTCTAAAAAAGCTCCATGCTTCGATGTTCTGTTCTCATTACGATTGCCATTATTATTATAGATGATGCTTCTGACGGGGAAGTGCTAACGAATGTTATGCGGCTGAGTGAATTAGTAAATTGAGAAACGTAGGAAGAATTTTCTCAAACTAAAATGTGCCTCTGTGTTTCTACAACCATTCATCATTGCTATATTGGAAATCCAAGTTAAATGACTTGCGAATATTTTGTTTCCACATGTTGACA